AGTAAATACTCTTATAATAGAATTGGGCTGAAGAACAGAGAAAAAGGAGGAACTCACTTCTTTAAGAATGGCACCATCCAAATATGTCTTGGTATGAACATGGAAGCGTCCATCCTTCTTTGTTTCTTGCAAGGAATGGCCGCGCATAGCTTTTGACATAGCAATAGCCAACTTCTCATGACGGTGCAATGCATGTGACCCCCCAATAATCACTACTTCTTGGTCGTCATGAACCAACTTCTTCACCTGAAGAATAGAATACCCACATATGAGCCCCCTATCCCAACATTTACAATTTAGAAACTCATCAACTTAGCTTCTTGAGCATCATGTAAGAATAACTATAATGCCTTTGCAGATCTAGCAAAATCAACTCAAGCAATTGCTGATTGTACTCAATGCAAATCAATGAGAATTTGATCCAACTACTATAAACTGCAGTATTTGGGATGAATATTCTTTGCTTTTAATCAGAAGGTTTTGAAAGTAGCCTCCTATAACTAAAGTAAGGTGGAAGCAAGTAGTTAATCAGGGTATCAGTTACCACCACTCCAAAATCCAGTAAAATTTATCCAGATATTATTCCAGATACTGAGTCAAGAGAAAAGTGCTAAAGCCAAACTTTACAAGCATAAGTAGATATAAAGATGCCATTCCAGAAAAAGTTAACTTACCTCTGCTTCAATTGCCCCAATATCTATGCTGTAATTATGACCTTTTTCCATAATATTATATCGATTATGGTTTTGGAGAACAATTATAGGTATAAGCAACCTTGTCGTCAGATCAACAGTTTCAAACCTGAGTTCATCAGGGACAAACAAATAAGCAGGCTACAGGAAGGCATTAACCCAGTAAATAAGACATGCTAGCAAGTTGCTGAAGCTGAATAGCATGATTTTTAAATCATAATCAAACTATGCTTCCATCTTTAATCTTTAAGAACCATTAAAAATGCATGTATTAATCAGTGAATGAAGATAGTGTAAAATTACCTAACATCTGGAGCTATTACATGCTCAACTGTGGTTGCTATCAAAGCAGAAAGATGTCCCAAGAAATTATCATGGGTAGCATGATCACTGACAGCAGCCAAACCCCTTGGAAGTATCATACTCCGTATACGTGGCAATGTTCTAGGACTGACACTGCCCTCTTCAGTTTCAATCTTTCCATAAGTGCAAGGGCCAGCAGAGAGGTCGATCACAACAAATCTGAACAGCAGAGGCAGAAATGAGACCCAGAGATAGAGAGAACCAAAAAAAAGGAAAAAAAAAAAATAGAGGTCAGACAACAGCTGATCAAGGAGTGAAATGTTTATACTATCAAACACCTTCTAACTGTTTAGACCCAGCATTTCTCACTCATAAGAATATTCTGACAGTTTCTTCATTTATTAGGGACTCAAAAGTTAAAATTCTTTTGACAAAATAATGCAATTGAAAACAGACCTTCCAGAGCCCAGCCAAACTTGAGATGCTCCTCCTCCATTGTATCGGTATCGATAAATGTAGTCTCCCTCTTGTTTTTTCATATCTTCCTCAGTCAGTGGGGTAAGTTTGCTATACATCAAACTATCAAGATCAATCTCCTTATTCCTAGGATCCATTCTGACCTGAAAAGAAGTAGAACCATTCACCACTGCATCAAAAAGGAAAAATTCAAACCACAACAGCCGTGAAAGAACATACTAAGTCACTAGGAATAATCAGAATACATGGTTATAGAATTTGTTTAAACTGTTCTAGACATGTGACGTGGATCAAAAGCAATACCAATATCAGCAAACTTTCATACAGATAAAGCACAGATTTGAAATTTGAAAATCAGAGTTAGACTATACCTTGTCAAAGTTAACAATAAATATAGCAGTTGGCACAGGTCTATCCATCTCTTTAGCAGAATATCCCCCATAATCTATGTCAAATATATATGAATACAACTTTTGGAATATTGGCTCCACAGCTGTTGCATCCACCTCAAATAGGGGCACCTCTCTCCCAAAATCAGACTAAGATGTGAAAAAAGAAATTTAGAACTTCATTCTTAAAAGATTCAATACAGTGAATGTTCCTTCACACTTATGAAGCAATACATTTACCTCTCTTGCAGTACCAGCAGGAACCATGGCCTCTTTCAGTGCTTTCTCAAGCGCAATCAATTCTGGCTGTCCTGCCTAGAGTACAAAACATAGATAAGGAAAACAGTAGCGAAAATAGCTACTTGCTTCAGATCTCTAGCTGAAATCTAAACAAGAAGTAACAATTAAGACCAGAAAAATAATGAAACATGTGCAAAAGGAATGGAAAAGCTTACAGGAAATGTATTATAAACAACATGATGCTCTATATCAAGGGGCTCCCCGGTCTCTTGACAGGAAGGCCTGTGGGAAGGAAAGCTCACTCTCAGAAACTCCTCCAATTTCGGTGCATCCACCGTGTACCGATAGCCACCATCTCCATTGAGACCAATTAGCACCACATTCACTTCGAGTGGAACCTGAAACGGAACCTGCACAAGACAACCTCTTCTAATCATAATCAGAGATGAATAAAACTAACCTAACAGCCACTAGCTCTTCAAGTTTCTACAAAGGAATTCGAATTTGGATTAACATTTAGCAGAGATCAACTATGTAGCTCAAATTCTGTCATTTCGAATCCTATAATTTTCGTATCTTCAAAGTTATGAAATGATAAATAAAACGCTAAAACTCTCGATGATTTCTAGAGAAGAAAATTTGGCTTCGAAACAGTTGAAATTAATTTCTCTACTGATTCAACAAGATTTTTAGAGGGAGATTGGGATACCTCGGCACGCGTGTGGAGCATACGGCGAACATCGGATCGGACGCTGTCGCGGACGTCCAGGAAGGCGCTGTGGTGCCAGTGAGGGTGACCGGGGTCTCTCTTGAACGCTTGTTGAGCAGACTCGGAGCGAGTCGCGAGTCCACTCAGTGCGAAGAGAATCCACGCGCAAGCTAACAAGTACGATAAGCTTGATCTTGATTCCATCAGCTAAAAAAATTTCAGCGAAAAGGGAGAAGAATCGGTGAAACGCTAGGAGTATTCAATTTTCTATGAGCTGAAGTTTCTCCGCCATGGTCAGAGAGTGGTGGTTTTTTTGCTTTGGATTTGGTGACCGGCGATGACTCGCACTAGACTGAATCGTGAAATTAATTTTTAATTTTCAAAAATGCTCCCTGCTTTTTTCAAAAAATTACGGGCTTGGGAAAGATGCTATATGGGCTTTAACGGGCTTTTTCGTGTGGGCAATGGACTTTCAACTCGGCCATTCTTTCTTTCTTTTTTCTATAATTTTGATCCAATGATTAGTTTACATCACATTCATTCATATGTTGGAAGCTAATTACAATAAAATTTTGATAAATTAATATTTAATAAATTAATAATTTTAATTAATAATATTTTTTATATATCTCGATTTAAAACTAGCATAGTAAATTAATAATCTCTAAATTTATAAGATAATATATTTTTTAAAAAAAATATAAATCTCACTTGATATATAAATTAATAATATTTTTATACATCAAAATTATATATACACTTGACTCAATTAGAAAGTTTTTGTAAAATATGATTCTAATATTACTTATTTTTTCTTGAAATTGCTATATCCTTGAACCCCATATCCAATTTTTCTTAGTGCATTAAGAAATTTTGTTGTTGTGTTCTCATATTGTAAGAGAAAATTGATATTGACTGATAAATGCTATGATGAACTCTTGATTGTATTTGATATTGTTATTTAACTCATTTGCAAGTTAAACTTTTCTAACACCCACAGCTGCAATTAGTTTTAGGTGTAATTTGGATTTTCTATATTATATTCATACAATACTTTACACATTTCATCCGTCATTGTTAATTTCATTACACCTTTAATATGAGAAGTTATTATTTTTATTTTTATTCTTTGTGATCCTATATTTTTGTAGATTTTTTGCTTGACTTAATGTTCATAAGTATATTAATTAAGTGTACATTAAATGTAATTTTAATTTGTTGTAAAAATGAATAGATTCACGACTTTTATTTAGTAAAACTAATTACATTCATGAACTTGTTTTGATTAAACAAATACTTAAAACAATGATAATTCATAATCAATAATTAAGTAATATTTGTATAATCACAATATACAATACATGTATTAAGTTCAATATTTTGAAAAAAATAAATAAAGAATACCTTGATAAATTAATTTTGTATTAATTAATGTATAAATTAATAAATAATTAATTTATTAATTAAATAATATCTAGATTAATTAATAAATTTTTATGATCTCAAAGATATTAATTTATAGTGGTTTTACTGTATTAGATAAGAAATCTTCAATATTTGCATTCAGAGAAAACATGTTAATCCATACAGGTTTCATTTACCATGTTGACATGCAAACAGTTGACCTGTTTAACCCCATTAATGTTGATATGCAAAACAGTTAACCTTGCTTACAAGATGTGCAAATATTGTCACAAATCTTAAAATGTCTAGTTGCAATTTGTAATTAAGTTATAAGGTGTCACAGTCTTGAAGAAAATCGTGAATCTTACATCAATTATATATTAAAATAAAATTAAATATTTTACTTTTTATATTGTTAATCTGTGAGATTTTTCTGTAAAACAAAACCATAAAATCCAATAAACCAAGGAGAACAAAGCATATACTCACCTAAGAGCTAAATTATTAGTGAGCTTGAATCAAAGACCACATGCATTTAATTAGATTATACTGAGGAATTACATAGAATTTGCAGTAAACGGAGGATACACTCTTTTTAACATTTTACAAATTTTGAACCCTCTTAAAACAACTGTTCTCTCTATGTCAGTGTTCGAGCAATGCATCCGCTACATCACTGCAGAGGTACACCGGTGCACCATAAAAATGGGTTCTGTTGGTGTAGTGCAGTTCTTTGAGGGTTTGGGAAAAACCAGAAGAAGCAGCAAATCTATTTGGTATCATGAATTAGCTGTGTTCCAGTTCGCTTCGATTGGATACTAGAGGGTCTTGGACTGCACCTCTAGATATAAGATCATGATTAAAGAATAACACTACAACAGTTATATCGTCGTGAAAATGGCGTCGAACCTTCTTGTCAATCTTCCGAAGAAGTGACTATTTCACTTCTCGTTTTCTGGCTGCTTCTTGTAGGGCAACCTTGACCAACCTTTTGGCACTCCCCTGCATTCATAGAGGTTCATGAGCACCACCCTAAAAACCATATGAGTAATTCTCAAATCCTAATAAAACCTGACCAGAAGCGATTCATTTTGTGAATGGTAAACGAGAAGTAATAGCTTAACTGGCTCGATAAAGCATGGAATTTGTAAAAAGAGGAACTCATGAATGAAGATAAACAAAAATTTAGAACCAATATGATCACAAATGAATACAAATTAGCGATTTACCAGCCAGCTAAACTTGCATATTCTGTTATGTCTAAAAGAGGGGTAGAAGGGGGAAGATTCTAACACACTGAGTCAGAGAGGGAGTTAACAACAAATTGTCAACCAAGGACCACGAAAAAGCAGTTCAGTATCAATAACAAGGGAATCAGAAATGGACTTGGCCACATAATGATCAGAAAATTGAAATTCTGTATCAACTCCAACCATAGAATGCAAAGACATCAAGAAGTCTCTCCTACTGAATTTTGAAATTTGCAGGACATCTAGTGCCTAGAGCATATGGCGTGAAAACACAAAAGCTACAATGCAAGAAATTATGACTTCAATAAACATAGAAAATAAGGACAAAATCTTACTGCACGTGGATGATTGTGGACAATATCCACAGCTTTTTCATTACTCAAAAGTGTTCCCATAGACCATCATATGCAAATGTAAGGAAAGAATCATTTGGTTGGAGAACATGAGAAATAATAGTTGGATTGGCACTCAATATAGGCTTGTTCATTGGTCCAGGAAGTCTCAATTTTCCATTAATTAGTTCCCTGTTATACTGCACAGGTTTCATATAAACATCGCCTATAGATCTAGAAACCTGCATCAAATACAATCATTAAATTGATGACATGACATGACGAATTATGAAAGAATGTCATGAGATTGAGAAACAAGACATAATACTAAAACATCTAATCAATTTTGAAAGATTTTATATGAAAATGAAATCAATCAATAATAAAAATTCATTATTTTAGATGATTTTGAAGCTAACATGTATTGTTACAGAAAAGGATAATGAAAGCTCGTTTTTGTTTAAAAGAGATACTAAAAGCCTGTTTGGTTTAATTTTTTTCTAACGTAAAAGCTATTATGAAACTCTTATGAAAAATAATAATTTTTAGAATTAAGTTTGGTAAGTTTTTTTTTTAAGTTTTTATTTATAAGTTATAATTTTTGTTAAAATTATATATATTTTTAAGAGAGTTATATTGTAATTATTTTTAATAGATGAAGATATTTTTAAAATAAAAATAAAATTTTTTATATTTAAAAAAAAAAGAAAAAAAAGCTTCTCATAGGAGTTTTTTAAAACTCTTTTTTTTAAATTTTTTTTAAGAGTTTTTTAAAATTTATGTTTGGTCTGATTTTGCTTTTTAAGAAATAAATAAATTGAAAAAAAATCAGACCAAACAAGTACTAAAAATCCTAATAATTAATAAGGTGTAAGCGTCCAAGGCCATGGTATTAAATAAGGTCATTTGTAAGACATTCCTGATCCTGGATTTTGGGCTCATGTTACCATTCGCCGTCAGATATCGAACCTGCCTTTTTTTCGAGCTAGATGGCAGTCACTCAACACTCTTTTGGTCATTTGTCTAGGCAAGTTTCTGTGTTCTTATTTTGGCATTTTCATTCTGGCTTTAAGAACTTTCAAACTCCTGAAACAAAATGGGTTGGCTGCCAACACTTTTTTTTGCCTGCATGCCAAATAAACAAGAAAATGACATAAACCAATTGACTTTGCCAATGGTCCGCTGTCAATTATTTTCAACAACACAGTTCTTGTCTCCGTAGTTTTCTTCAGTGGGGTCGATTCCCACAGGGAATTTGTCCAATTTTGTCCTTGGATTTTCATTTCTCTAATCGCGTCAGTCGTGCATCACATTAGGGGACACTGCAAAAAACCCAAAATCAATCTCGCGCCAAGATAATGTTACGCCTTGGCACAGTCCAGCTCGATGCCTGGTTCCCGCAGCCATCGTAGCCGTAACATCGTAACGCGACAAAAATGAGGTCAATTTGATGACATTCGAGGTATCGAAATATGCATATCAGATGCTTAACAATCCGATACTTCCTTGTGTTTGTGCTAAGTTAGGGTAGTTTTCTTTTGGATGTAGCTGGTTTTTTTTTTTTTAATATATTGCAACTGCGGTGTGGTCATTGGCTAGTGCCTAGAACTTTAGCACTTCGTGGCCAGTAGGCCTACTCTTCTTTGAAAGGTACTGGTCCCGATCGTAACCAACCTGGATTGGTCAACATGAGGCTTGAATTCAAAGTGCTGTTTGCACGTCACAACTCACGGGATTTGGTTTGGGTTCCTTCTGAACATTTGGGTTTGTCGAATCAAATTAAGGATGAACATTAATCGGTTTAAATTGAAAAAATCAATTGAATTCGGTTAATTTGAATCACTTTTTTTAATTTTGGTATTAACTGTTTGAAAGGAATAATTTATTCAGTTAATTTTTTATATTTAAAATTTACAATCATATCAATCAAATAATTAATTATAATATATTTTAAATATATCTCATTCAAAACGAAATAATCAATTGAACCAATTAAAATAAATCAATTTTGATTATTTGATTGATTTAATTTTTAAAATTTTAAAATCAAATTCGATCAAATACTTAATCTTAAATCAAATTATAATAAATGATTGGACTCTACTAATAGATACTCTATCTCACCTAAAGGCCTAGACTCATTTTTCTATTTGAAAGTTTACTTTACCACTAGATAAAATGCCACCTCACCTTAATAACTTAAATATGATTAAATTTTATTTTTTATTATTAAATTAAAGTCAAATTGTATTTTATAATACGAGATCACATAATTTTAAAGTAAATAAACGAATTGAAGCTTTAATTGAATCGTAATAGTTTATTATTAATCGTGGTTACATAAAATATGAGTATTAATTTTTTTAAGTAAACAAATGGATTCAAGTTTTTAATCCAATTTGTAATAATTTATTATTAATCATGATAAGAAAAATATGAGTACTAAATTTTATAATTGAGTTTAATATAAATATTTTAAAATGAATGGACACTTTACCCGTTAGTCTTATTACGGGCATATATTTGGGCTACAAGCAGACACAGGAATAAATATCCCATGGCCCAGTCTGATTCTGGACCATAAAGACTTCCAAATGTTGCAGAACATGAAAAAGCAACGTACCCCTAAAATTAGTTCCAGACAAACTGGCTTTCTACATTTGGTATCTTAAACTCTTCCGTCTTCCCCTCATCTCCCAATGGCAGTATTAACTTGGCTGCGGACTTGTGGGTTTGAAATTTCTATTTTCTTTTATTTTTTCTTCATTTATTACGAATTGTATTAAGATTTAAAAGTTAATTAAAACAACAAATGCAGTGCTAAACTAGTCTTTTAAAGTCAACATATTCTTCCATAAGGAAATGATTTTAACGGATGAATTTGTACAAATTAAATTCATCGTAAGTTTTCAAATTGCAGTTTTATGATCTAATTTATCTTTCTAATAAACAGTTGGAAAATGAAAACTATGTTAGAAATGCTTGATATAGCACTTGATTAAGCATTCAAAAGAAAAAAAAAAAGAAAACCAGCTGCCATAAAATTAGACTCATGAATAATTGATTGACGAAGCTTTTTGACCAACACATCAAGTTCTTTATGTACCATCGAACGAAGAAAGTGTTCTAAACCTTTTAACAAATCACCCCATCATTTGCTGTAAAATCACCCATTAGTGAATTATATACGTGAATAACCGATCAAAGTCTCTAGCTTTTGATCACATTGATGCCACCGGCTCCGCCAAGCTTCTGTCCGAAAACCTTCTTTAACTTCCCCAACAGCCTCCTAGCAACTCCACCCGTCTTTCTGAATCTCGTCTCATTGACCTGCTTCTTGGACGATGTCGGTTTCTTCTTCTTTTTCTTCTTCTTCTCCTCCACATTCAATTGTTCGATGGAGTTCCCCAAAGAAGCCCCAGCCTTGAGAAACGCTGCAGCCAGCTCCGGGTATAACTGTTTCAGATACCCTTTGAATTTCTCAGACACATCAAAACTCCCAGAAGGAAAATCAACCGATGATGTTCCTGCAGGACCATCGTCTTTGAAGTACCCAACTTTGACACTCCCGTTTGCGTAACTCTTGCAAGCCAACAGGATCGAGCTCCCACGCTCTCTGAAATGCTCAATAACGAAACCTCCAAAATTCTTGGGAGGCTTCCTCATTAGAAACAACATCTTCTTGCAAGACATCACAAAAACATCCTCGTTATAAGCAGCAGATTTTTTTTCCCAGATGGTCTTCCCAGGCCAAATCCCATGACCCGGCTCGTTAAAGTAAGGCTTTTCGTTAAGAACCAAAGCTTGGATGGAAACCAAAACCTGAAGCACGGTCGACTCTTTGGGGTTCCATTTCTCACTCTTTCTCCCACTCCAGGTGTTGATCAAACTCAAACAGACCCGGCCGTTTGCATACAAGTTCGGGTTGATCCGGAGCCCGAACGATCGGTAATGGACATGGGGAGGTTTAGTCGGATAATCAGGCGGAAATGCTAAGTCGAAGAAAAAGAGTCCGTCGTGGTACGGAGTACCTGCTGCCCCGACGATTGCAGCTCGTAAGAGATCGAGGCGTTTCTCGTAGACGCGTACGATGATGGATTCTGGGAGGCTTTTTTCCAGGATTCTCCATTCTTGCATGATCTTCTTGTGGACCCCGCTGGATGCGTTGGCCATGGGATCCGGTTGGGCGGATTTGGTTTTGGACTTGGAGTTGAGGAAGTAATGGTCGGAGTCATCTGACACGACGTCAAACTGGCGGAAGACGTCGATTTCTTCTACTTCGCAGCTGCCATTTTGGGACATGGAGTGAACTGAAAGCGCCATGATTATGTAGTTTCATGGGATTTTTTTGTGACAGAGATGACTATGAGAGTTTTATTATCAAAAGCAACGGACAAACCTTTTTTTTTCTTTATTGTACTAGGAACTGGGTCCCAACAACCGAAAATGGACGGTGATTGTCACATAGAGTACTTTGATTGGACGGTGTGTGATTGTAAAGCAGCCTTGTTGTGGGCCCTTGGAGATGATTGCGGACGTAGTAAAGGGTGTCCATTTGAAGCATCGATCAAAGCAACTTGATCCAAATCTATGATGCCACGTTGATCATAGAGATGCGAAGCATAGAATCAAACAACCATGCACCCAAGATTTTTACCCGTAGAGACGTGCCGTTTGGATTTTGCCCGAGCAATTCATGAAGAATATTCAATACTCTTCACATCAGTGGAAACTGCTGAGAATCAGCACTACGGTTTTATATTTTATAGACCATTTCCATCGCTATACTTTCCTGGCGCTTCAGCTTTCTTTGCTTGTCCCTTGGCAGTTTCGAGCAATGTTCTTGTGAACTTCACATGGCCCTTCCAGGATGTTACAAATTTCCAAAAAAAAAAAAGTAGCATGTTTTTTGTGTGTAAAGTGGTAACTTACCTGCAGTAGGTTTTACGTCTGCAAGAATACAAAAAAAGTGACTTCTAGCATATCAGATGAAGGTAAAAAACAAAGATTTACTAATACAAAAAAAGAAAGCCATTGCCCATCTGAGTTCTATGGTTGTAAATGGTAAAGAGAGGTAGAAGAGGTTGGGATAAATAATAGAAGGGGTAGAAAGTCACGCGCGAGTAAATGCTTCTACTTGCTTAAAACTAATCTTCTGTTTGCATATGGAAAATAATGTTACCGTCAGCCTGGCTGGAGCTTCTTTACCTTGTATTTCTTTCTGTGCTTCTCTGTCCCTGCTAAGTAATTGGTTTGATCTTTTATATGCATATATTGGCCTCAAAAGAGAGACCCAACCCAAAGTGCCATATAATCAAGAACATCATGTAGTGCGAGCATCGGTTTGTCTAGACCTTTTCTGCGCCTAGAAACACAGTGATTGGGCTTCCTTTTAGGAAAGTGTTGTGGGTTAGTTATATTAAAGCAAACTCCTCGGTTTTTTCTGCCTTCCTTTCCTTGAAAAAGTTGAAGCATGGCTGTCCCCATAGGCCAAATGTCCTACAGGACAGTGCTGCTTAGGCAGACTTTGATGTGTAGAATTCCATATTTATCATCGAAAAAGACAATTATTGTTGGATAGCACTCAACTTTTCCTTTATTAATTTGCGTGATCCCTTAGGAGGGGTTAGCTACTGTAAACCTAACTCTCAATCAGGAGTTATTCATTGAAGTTATACCCTAATAGAACAGTTAAAAGACTAAATTTCATTTCGAAGGAGTCTTTATTGCTTTCACTTTTCGTTGTCTATTGCTTTGTTCTCCTTTGGTTGAAATACCAAATAGCTCCATGGAAGAGAGAGTTACTGCAAGCCCTGACCATAGCAAGATGAGCCTAGCTAGTCTTCATTTTTTATTTGCTACCAAGGAATTTAAGAAAATGCAAAGCTTTTAAATATTGTTACATGACGCATGCTCAGGAAAGCTTGGTACCATGCACATGAAATTCTGCTTTGCTTGACGTGTTTTTTCGTGAGGTATAGTTCACCGAAACATTCAGTTCCAATCTTTATGAAATTTTCTGATTTAGACTTGCAGTCAGATTAAGGCAATTCACCCTCCACATCTCAAAATGCATACATAAACTCTAAGAGAAAGAAAATTTTAAACAGCAGTTACCAGCCCGGAATAACGATTGATAATCCTACAAATTGAGAACTAAAAGACCAAAAGAAAAGATGAGATGACTAATCTGGTAAAGATACTGTATTGCCTACCAGTTTTAATAGACATCGGTCGCCCCTTCCTTTTCTGCTGTCTAATAACTCATGATCGCTTCCCAAAAAGTTTTTAATCTGCTGATAATACCTTTCCCTGGCTTTTGTTGAATGTCAATATCATTCACTAGCTTTTCAGGCAGGTTTTGCAGAGGGGCTCCGATTCCATTGAAGGCCTCGAAAAGTTTGGGATAGAGCTCGTCCATGGAGTTCTTGAATTTCTTTGATATCCTGATTTTTTTCTTAGAAGATGGTGTGGTAGAATCATCACCGTTGAAGAAGCCGATGCAAACGCGACACTCTCTATAAGCAATGCAAGCTCTTAATATAGTGCCTCCGTGCTCACGAAAATGTGCAGCAATGATCGCCTCGAAGTTCCTGAGCGGGTTTTGGAGCAGGAAGAGCATTGTCTTGCAAGACAATGTGAAAACATCTGCATTGTAATTTTCCCAGGACCAAGCTGGTTTAGCTCCAGGCTCGTTGTAGTAAGGTTTCTCGTTAAGCACAAGCCCCTGGAGAGAGAGCAAAACCTGAAGAATCGTTGAGTTAAGAGGGTCCCACATCTCAGTCTCGTGCCCTACCCAAGTGTTGAGCAAGCTCAAACACACGAAGCCGTCGCCATACAGATTGGGGTTCAATCTGAGGCCGAACGAATGGTAACGTACTTTGGGAGGCTTGTTGGGGTAATCGGAAGGGAATAAAATATCAAAGAAAAAGAGGCCATGGTGATAAGGAGTCTTTTCAGCACCAATGATCGCGGCCCTGAGCAGATCAATTCTTCCTTCGTAGACCCTCACAAAGATTGATTCCGGAAGATGCTTCTCCAGAATCTCCCACTCTTTCATGATCCTGTTTACAGAATTCTTGTTATGCACTTTACCGTCGTTGACGTTACTCTTCTTTGACATGGCACGCAAATGGTAAAAATGATCTGAGAAATCAGTTACATAATCGAACTGCTTGAACTTTAACCCGACTTGCTGCCGCCCTGTATGCATACAGATCAACAAGAAGAAACATATTACTCTTGACAGTTCGTCTGTAGAAGTTTGTGATTTGATTCACAGATGAAACTTTGTCTACTCGATTTTTATCAAACTATCTTTCTTACAAACATTAAGAAATCTGCACAAACGGAAGATATAGCTCTAGCAGGTGAATGTAAAGGAAGTTTACAAGTGAGTTGAAAGACTACCTGAAGCCATTGGTTCAGGATTGCTGCTCCTTTTATTGATGTCCTGCCGCCCTTGAGAAGCGTCTAGAGTTGAAGAAAACCAGTTCCCTGACCTCGTAATCTTTTTTGTAACAGCCTTAATGGGGTTTTTACGGGTTTAGGTTCATCTAGGACTCTCAGGATTTCATTTTCATAATTAATTAATTAATTAATATGTTTTTTTTTTTTAACTGAAAAAGTTCAATAAGCCCAAACCCAGTAGAAGGGTGGTGGAGGTTTGGGTATAGCCACTTTGTTGGCTTTTAGGGACAATTCCAAGATTTTCATAGTGAGGTCAATTCCCTCAAGAATTTCAATTGTTCAAGGGGCTACTAACTAAGAATTGGTTTGAATTCAAAATTGGCATAAATAAATGTAATTAAAAGCAATGAGAAAGATTGAAGACAAAAAGGAAAAAAGAATTTAAATTAGCATGCTTCTATGTTCAAAACCAAACCTCTGCATTCAAGTTTTGGCAGAGCAAATTTTTACGTAATTGAAAGAGCATGGTTTAGCTGCAACCAAGAATTTATTATTCATTTTATTTTCCTCCAGCTTAGGTGGCCCAAGCATTTTCGTTTCACAACAGTGACTAAACATGAAGACAAGAATTTCCCTAGATTACAACTTGGAAGATGGTTTCTTGGAATTCCGTCCAGCTATGAATTCCTGCATCTTCTTAAACTGCTCTGTGGTCATTCCATCGTAATACTTATGAGCCCTCTCCTGGAAAAGAAAATGAGAACATTACCATGAATATGAATGAAAGATCAAATCAATTTTAAAGAATGTTCATTATCAGCCTCAATCCATGCGCTGACTGCTCTCGTCAGTTCTTTCATTGACTTCCCATAATCCCTTCAAATCTCTATGGCTGAAAAGTACATGTCTATCAGTCCTGATTGGTGAACAACGTTCTTAGAGATCCAAGAAAGAAAGGAAAAGTCGTGGCCTTCATGGAATACAAACAGGGTGAATGAAGAAAGGGAAGGAAAATATAGGACCCTCATCCTCATAATTAGTAAGATGATATTGGCATATCGACAAAAGCTGCCATAGCTCCTTGTTTTAGAGGTAATGTGACGACCCAACTGATTTGGCAGATGCACAAACTGACAAAGGGCTTAGCCATAATGCAAACTGTTTCAGGGTTTTACTTTGTTTTGCAAACTAGATCAACTTGATCCTATCATTGCCAAAAACCAAATCCATCTCTGTGTAAAACTAAGGAATGATATGATTTGACACTATGAAAATACAATCCTCGAAACCTTAACCAATCTTATACTTGATACATAAGATTAAAAATGAATTACCTTCTCCAGAGCGAGAGCGTGATGAAGATCCAACTTGAATCCATCATTGATCAGAGTCTTGTACCTGACAACCATGTCTTGGTTATTCTTCACAATCGCTCCTGCAAGTTGTCGAGCTTTCTTCAACAATTCACTTTCATCAACGACATAATTCACAAACCCCAACTTCTCAGCCTGCTCTGCTGTCAAAGGCATGGCTGTTAACGATACTTCACGAGCCTTGTTGGGTCCTATGATGCGTGGAAGCTTCTGGGATAAACCCCATGATGGAAATATCCCAAATCTACAAACAACAGTTTTCAAACACACGAAATCAACAAATGAATGCAGTTAATCTTACCTTTAAGGAAAATAAAAAAAAAAATTGAACCTGGCATGGGTATCCATGAACTTGGCTCCTTTAGCGGCTACCAAAATATCACAAGCTAACGAGATCTCGAACCCAGCAGTCACGGCGAACCCGTTGATAGCTCCGATAATGGGTTTGGGACACTGTTCCATCTGAAAAACAGGGTCTGACTCCGGGTCCTTGACGTCACCTTTGAAAACTTCCTGTGCCACCGTCAAGTCCACGCCTGAGCAGAACGCCCGCCCCGAGCCGGAAAGGATGATGACCCGCACCGAGTCGTCTCTTCCGAGGGCCTTGAAAGCCTGGGCCAGCTCTGCCATCATGGGCCGAGTCAAAGAGTTGAGAGATGAAGGTCGGTTGATGGTGATGGTGGCGATCCCATCGGGTTCGCGGCTCACAAGGATTAGTTTCTCCGACGAGGATTGGCCCATTAATCTTGCTTTTTTTTTCCCGGGTTTAGATTGAGGAAAAGAAGAAAAACGAACAGAGGTCTTTGGAGTTCAGTTTGGTCTTAGAAAGGCAATCTGTTTGCGTTTTGGATTGCGCGTACCATTATGCCGTTTGCACGTGACAGTTGCAGGTCTACGGATAAGAAGTCAATTATAAGAAAACAAAATAGGATTCTATAAGGTTCAATCGATTAAATCATTTAATAATAATATTTATAATGTAAGATCGATAAGATAAAAACCAAAATTACATCTCTGCCTCTTCATTTAGAAATGAAATTAAGAAAATCGTACTCGAATAAGAAAAAAGTATTCGTAAGTTAATTTTCAGGTAGAAACCCTTTCCTGTTTTTTTTTCCCCCGAAAAACAGGCAATATACTGTAAAATTTCATTTATGCAGTTATAACAATGCTGACTGTCGCTGTAACTGCTAACAGGCAAGTCAAAACCTGGAATAGATAAATAATTCTACAAGGTTCTGCAGTTCCCATCCTCCAAACTCTTTTACCAGGTAGTCTCCAAGAGGAACAGACGAACAGCAAGACTAGAATGAAAACTCAACGGCAGGTATATTAATCATTCAGAAAAGAAGTGCACTATTTAATACTGGTGAGTGGAGAACGACAAGGGGAAAAAGTTAACAGTTTCCATTTGATGCTGCATCCACATCTTTTCTTTCTTGGGATGTGTAAGCTGTTAGATTGTAAGAATTTCCCCTTCCTGTCCTCCAGGGGAATGATGATTCTGTTGGTATTGTGGCGCCTGCTGATCGTTTTTCATTCTTCTGAACATGCTGATCAATCCAATCCCCAGCTTCCTTCGGCGTCAAGAATTACTACAGTCAAACTGATGATTCTTTGTTAGGTAGTGCTGTCCAAATTCTGGAAAGCCTGCTGTTGGACCGCGATTCTCCACTCTGCTGCGGTTTTACTCAATTCAATCAAGTTGCCAATTGTATCATAGAGAGGCTTAATAACCAACCAATTGTGTTTCTAGTAAGCTTAATTTTACAAGCACTGGTTAGAAATCAGAATTGGGGCCTCAAAAAATCTAGTTTTTAACTCTTTCTATAAGTTTTTCGTTTATCAGTTTTATCTCCCCTGTTGTCCTGATTTACTGTCCCTTGCTGCTTTGCTTTTGCAGCTTTATTGTATTGATACCAGGATATTTCGGCTTGCTTGTTGGATAAATTGAAAATAAAACAGAAAGAATTGGTTCCAAACCGCAAGTAATCAAGATCAACCATGCCTATTGCCTAACTCATCATCCTCATATGTTAGTTCATCAACCATCATTAGTTCAAGAGGATTCTTGTTGTTTGCCAAGAACCAATCAGTTTGCATTTTCTAATTCAAACAACAAAATTTTGAAGTTTATTACAGCTGATTAGCTGAACAATGGACAATTACTTGGGTAAAAGTCCTATTTACTTCAGTGGTAACTAGTATCATGTAGTATCACTTGTACTTTACTGTCGAATGAGCTATCAATTATTCGCAGAAACATTTCTTTATCACACTTTTTCTCATAATTAAACATTAACTAGTTGCCGAATATTCATCGGAGTAATATCATTGGAGTCACCATCCAGGAGACGTTTTGCTATGATGACATTGGCAGCATCCGACGGATGGTACGGATCCCAGAAAACATACTTAGATCTGTCTGGACAAACTTTCGATGGCGGACCACATGGGATCAGGCCACCAAAGTTACCGGCAACATAGCAGCAGGCAAAGGTTCCAGTGTCAAAACCTGTTAAAAAACAGAAATTCGGAAACCATTTCAGGACAGGTCAGGTAAATTTCCATCTACTCCTGAGAATGTCATGAAAAGTTCAAAAGATTTACGGCATTGGGTACCATATGATCCGTAATTTTGTAAGATGTCGTCTACTATGCGGTAAATATCTGCATAGAGGAAAAATGATCCCTTCAGGCTTGTGCTGAGCTCTTTAACAAGACTCCTCAACTCAGTATTAAATAGCTGAGCCAGCTGATTCGGACGACTAACACAGCTATCTCCTACAGTAGGATTTAGGTCTCTTTCATATGGTATACAACCGATGGGACCCACATTTACTACAACAATCTTTCTAGCACCCAAAGAGTAAAGCCTCTGCAAAAAGTATCAAATATGTCAAACAAAACTCCTCCATTGAACTATAACATTTGAAATGAGGGCTTTGGTTGATATCAAGAGTTTGAGTTGAAATATACAGTGAGCTGTAGCCTGAATCTTCCAATCATGGAGGCCACAAACACTTCTGGAGGAACCAACTTCTGCTCCTCAGCTGAGACTACGGGTGTAAGGTAGTTATTGATGAAATCATTGGAACCCATTGTCACCGAGAATAAAGCACTTTGAAACAGCTCTAGAGCTGTAGGAGCACCTATACTCGAGATAATATCTTGCCTGGTATTTTCAAAATTGTCTAGCTGTGCGTCAAAGTTGATTCGACCACCCTGTCATTTCATGCATATATTGAACATGGAAACCATAAGCTAATGTAATCACAAACAAGGGTTGCAATTAATTCCTGCGATTTAAAATCAAATGGTTCAAATGGCATAAACACCTTGGAAGAAACCTTACAAAGATATTTCCAGTGTGATTGAGAATTCCACCTCCGCCCGAAGCATAATTAACCCCCTGAAGAACCACAGGTCCCCTGGTTGAGGGAGCTAAGTAAGGAGGAGTAAAACCTGGAGAACCCAACTCCTGACCTGCAATTGGGAAAACTATATAAAATTTGCATTGAACTTTCAAAAAGAAAAGAAAGTCATGCATGGAGGGAGCAACAGAAACTGCAACTTGCCTAAAATGTCGATAATTGTTCTTCCATTGGTGTATCGTCCTGTTGGCCCTCCGAAATCAATCCCATTCGGAGCATAATTAGCCTTGGACAATGATGCGATGTAATTGTTATTTCCCACATCAACCAAGGAGTCCCCGAAAACGAAGTTAACGGGAACATCCTTAGCAAAGCAGGCTTTGAATAACAGCTCGACTGTCACTACTTGGAACACAATCCCAAAAATGATTTGTCTATTTGAGAGCTCACTCATAATGAAGTCAAGTACAAGACTGCAAGAAAAACTGTACTTAGATTCTGTATTGCCCCTTGCTAAATCTGATAATCAAACTTACAACTAAAGAAAAAGCAAGAGAAACAATCACCCAAAATGAAAATAAAAAATGGATAGAGAAGATATCGAAATGGAACTGAAATGAGCTTGTATGGTTCTTATCCAGAATGGATCTGGGTAAGAAACAGGAAACAAAAAGAATGCTGTTCTGATGAAAGTTAATCTACTATCAAACCACAGATTCGAAAGGAAAATCACCCTAAGTTTTTATAGATAAGCAAATTCTGCAACCAGTAACAGGTGGTAAGTGCAACATTAAATGAACTGAAACATCACACACCAACCCCAGGAGACAAAAAAAGAAAGCTACACGTTTCAACGTTTTGTTAAAAATGGAATGCATGGGTTCGGGTGCTTGGCTCACTTGTGGGACGAATATTAATTTCGCCAGCTACTAACTGTTCAAAGGTTCAAATCAATTTATAAATTATCACGTTTTATCACATGTCTGTGATTCACGGTACTTAGTCAGTGTTTCTTTAACAAGTAAGTGGTCATTCATTACTATGGGGCTAAAAAAATATTAAGTAATTTATGGGGATTTTAAGAAGTTATCCTAAAATAATAGTTCTTGGACTTGGTTCGGTGACAAAATTTATGATTTTTTTTTTTATGATTTTTATGATAGTTACTCTTTTTTAAGAGTCTAGAGTCGGAGGAAAGATCAAGTTTAACTGTTACAAATTAATTAAATCTTATGTTATTTGATAATTTAATGTATAATTAATAATTTAACAAATCAATTATTGAATTTAACTACTTACTTGTATCTATCATGCACATAAATTTTAAAATCAACCTAATATAAACCCATTGCAAAGATGAATAGATTTCTTCCAATCTCAATGAGAGACTAGAGACAAGGTAGACATTACTAATACATGAAAAATCTATTATAAATGATAGTATCTTAATATAAACTATTTGTTGACTTGAAATACATTTTTTAATTAAGAATGTAATAATGTTTTATTTTTTTTAAATTTACTAAACAAATGCATTTAAACATTTGATTCATTAACTGACATATGATCTCCTAATGAGCAGAGTTCGAACCCCCTTCTTTAATTACAAAAACAAATTACTCAACAAATTTAAAAAAAAAAGTCTATTCGATTTTATAGTAATTACATTTTAATCAAAACATTTAAAACTTTATTTTTTTTATTTGTAGAAGAATAATTCAAATCTAATTTTTTAAAAATTTTACATAAATCATGGAATCAAATATTCAAAAGCTTATAATATTTTGAAATTTTAACCTTCAGCATTATCTCGTTTTCATAATTAAATGTCAAGTGTGCATGGTGAGTGCAACAAATAATAATGGGTATATTGATCGCGTAAATCGAATTGTTGAGCACAGATGCCGGGCCCACATCGCCATCCGTTCCATGTGGGGATTAATTCAGTGCATGTTCCTGTGTTTAAACACCTAAAATTCTGAAGCTCCCAGTACAGTTGCATTACATGACGGGAAGTGTTCACCAATTTGCAAATAATCTAATTTTCCTGTTGCGATCACTTAAGGGATAAGGTTTTAGTGCTTGTTCCTTAGGTTTCACTTCTTCGGCACATGGAATTCAATTCATGATTAATCAACTATAGTTATGGCTCTTCTTCCTGGTACCCAACCAACGAAAGGGCCCCCCAAAGTTGGGGCTAGAGGTTGGCCCTGGCGTAGACTCAGCCACCCTATGCCACAGTCTGCTGTCTGTCCTGACCAGCTTTGGACAGCATCTGCTCCCCATGAAGTCTTGTGCGGGTGTTCGTGTTCCCAGTTTTGGTTCGGAAGCCGGCGAAATTATTGGTCTGACTTGGTTCGAGGCAACGGTTCTGAAATTTTCATATCCATTGATGTTTCCTTTGTCAGCTAGCTAGAAGCTATGGGTGGTTACCACTCACCTCCTCCCCATTTCATTGAGTAAAAGATTGCCTTGTAATCCAAGATTAAAAGGATTATTATGCTGTTGGTGTTCAGTAATAATGGTCTGTCGACTGTCTCACGAGTAAAAGAAGACAAAATGAAAATTGCCAATTAACTAACAGATCTGGCTGCCTTGCCCATGAAAATATAGCTGTATTCCAAGAGCCAGAATGGCACGTCACCTTTTTTCAACCCGTATTTCTGAAAGGTTCAACCGCAGTTCACCTACTGTAACCAAATTGACACTTTTGAAATGTAAAATTTCGCCCAACATATTTATTAGGAGGAGGGAACATGTACAGAATGATATGACAAGCTGACAATATTAGTAAGCTGACTCACCGGATGCCAAATATACATGATACCCAGACTTGCATTTGCATTTTACAACTGGAACCATTGACATTGCATTTTGATAAGAAAGCTAACTAATGACGGTGTATAGATTCTATATACAGACCGCCCATTAAATATAAACCTTGTTCGATGGAGAAAAATGAAGAAGAATCAATCAACCTTCTGGATAACAGCTGCAGCTCATCTTTCTAGGAGAGCATCTCTAGGATTTTCCAGGGTCTACGATGTCCTTTTACTAAACCAAGTCTCATTTTGTATCTCTTCCCTCTCTGTATGTGATGGAGCTGTGCAAAATCAATTTAAAAATTGTGATTCAAAATCCTTCCTGTCCCATTCATTTCATCACGATGAACAGGTCAGGAATACACTAATTGCCTGATGTTCATAGGAGACATGTAACTTAAGCCACCATCCATCATATGCCTTGCTGCAATTATATTGCTAGTTTCTGTCAAATGGAATGCATCCCAGAAGACGTACTTGGTTCTGTTGGAACACAATTTGGATAACAAAAAGCAGGGGACTAAACCCCCATGAGCTCCAGCACTGTGACAGCATGCAGAATCTGCATTTTGAAATCCTGTGGAAAAAAAAAACCACAGATATCATCATAATACATAAAAATGCTGATAATTAATCCTTTTCTCATTTTTTCCAACAAGGTAACAGGGTGATTTAATCTGCACTCCGAAGAGCTGCATATCTATGCTCTTCATCTGGTGAGGCTCATTAGGCTTTCTGCAGCTGATACATCCGGTTACAATGGTTGCATCCACCCCTCCCCCCCCAACCAAAAGTCAAAAGGCAAGCAACATCTGCATTTACCATTGTCCATTTGTCCTATCTAGCTATCAACAGTTAGGTAAAAAGCTTAGCTTGAAATTTTGCCACATGGGAATTCAACCGGTGTGCTAAAATAACAATCCTGAAAACATTATACGCACCATATGATTTGTAATTCTTAAGGATATCTTCCAGCATTGCATGAATATCTGCATAAACATAGGTTGAACCCGTGAGATTTGCTGTAAGATCCATGAGCAGGCTCTTCAGTCTACTGTTGTATGACTTGATTGGCTGATTTAAGGAAGCCACACAACCTTTTACATCAGGATAAGCATCCCTCTCATAAGGGCTACACCCAATTCTTGGAATATTTGTCACAACAATCTTCCTAGCTTCCAGATGATAAATTCTCTGCAGAATCAAAAAATATTTATTACATTTGTAATAAGATTTCAGGCAGACCAATTGGATTGAAGTGAGCTTTCAACATAACAGGATTCCAAGAGAATCTTTACTGTAAGTTGGGACTTGAATTTTGAAGTCAGAATGTTTAAGTATGCTCCTTGAGACGATGGATTCTGCAAGGAAGTCACTTGCTGCCCAATTAAAAAATCATTTGCACCAGTAACAACCATAAACAGAGCCTGATGCATTAGCAGTCTTTTCGCTTCCCGCCTGCCGATTCTTGAGACAATTGTTTTCTTAGTTTTCTCAAAGTTACTGATTTGTTCATCTAAGCTAATATGACCACCCTGTAAATTATGCATGGGTTAACAGTTGCCTTTTATATCCACAAGATCTAATTTCTTAGCTGATTCTGCATCAATTTCCTCAGTAACGCATTATATTTTAAAAAATTTACACGGTTACGTATGTAATAAGGAACCTTACCCAAACTATTCCAGAGTTCTTCAAAATACCAGATCCAGAGGAAGCATAGTTGACTCCTTTTAGAACCATGTCACCGGTAGTAGTTGGAGCCAAGTATGGAGGAGTGAAATTTTTGGCACCCAAATTCTGTTCTGCAACAGACAAAGTCAAACAACAAGCTTCAATCTGGACTTCTGTTCTTTCTAATGTCAGGTAATGCTTCAGGCAAAGTAACTTGAGGCACAAGGTAACAGAAGAAGCCAACTTGCCTAAGATATCAATCACTGTTCTACCATTAGTAAATCTCCCAGAGGGACCCCTCAGGCCAAAGTCAATTCCATTTGGAAATGCCGCCTTTGCAATTGTCTTGATGTAATTGTTGTTTCCTACATCAACCATGGAATCTCCAAAAACGAAGATTGCAGTAATGTTCTTGGCCAATATGTTATCAAACAAAAAGAGGAATGCTGCAGAAATTTGAAACATAACTTCAAAGATGAAGAGCATGTTCAATACATGATACACGTTGAGATTGGATTTTTGAATCATCGATGCCATAAACAAGTCTTAGAAGACCTGAAGACACACACACTATTGGGAAGGAATGCATGATAGACCAACCAGATTTTGTAGCTGCACCTAACTCAGCTGAATGTTTCCTTTCGCATATTTGCAGTTTCTAACAAATACATGTTAATATCCTGTAATTTGTAATTTCACTATGTTCATTCTCATACCAATACTCCCTCGTTTTTGTTTTTTTTTTGCATAATTTGACTAGTAATTTCTTTTGATTTGCTTTAATTTATTTCTTCTTTGAAGAGGAGAATCAGGTGTGAGTTTGCCTTTACACAGAAGTGTTGGCTCTGAAGGAAAAAAAATCAGTTAAAAGGGTTAGGAGAGATAGACCTTTGATGGTTGGGCTCAAGAACCTGAAATGTAAAACTCTGCCGTTTGGTGTAAAATTAATAACTAAAAAGTAGAAAATGACTTCAGTGTTATTGATAATTGGCTAAGTAGAAAAAGTGGAAAAACATAGACCAACAAACTTAATTATTATCAATGATCAAGGTAGAACCAACAACTCTGATCAGTTTATTGCATTGCAATTCTTTCTAATGACACCTTGTTTCCCAGTTAGAACCCCGGAACAAGATAGTTTCACAAAGGCGGAGGAGAATTCCTGGAAGAAATCATCCTGATTGATGGAGAAACGTTGCATAACGGTAGCTGTTTGTGGGTCTAATGCCATTTCAGCATCTATTTTCAGTACTCCCCGGCCTCCCATTGCATTAACATAGTATTCGTTATCAAACACAAACGTGGTAGGATCATTGAGAACAAAGCTTAAATTTGAGCTTTGGAGTCCCTGGGGACAAGTTAACCCCAAGAAGGATGCAAAACTAGGTTCCATTGCTCTAAGCTCACCATTGTTGGGATTGTAGAGACGGTTCTGAATGTTTGAACAATGCGTAATCCCTAGGGTGTGGGCACCTGAAAGAGGTTACAAAGCAATGTTTTTGTATTCTGTAGATAGCAAGTGGTATTTCTGTATGGGGAAAAAGTATGCTTTAAAGTTCATGTACGTTGAGGCAGAAACATGTCAATATTTAATTATGCACGTTCAAGAAATACATGTAATTACCCAAAATGGCAACAGATTCTGCAAGAGTCATTCCTTTCTCCGCGAAAAGATTAAGCATGTCAGCTACTCCGGCTGTTGCAGGAGGCAGCACTGCATCTGCAAGTTCATAGCTGAGGGTTTGAGAAGAATCCCTCCGTCCCAAGGGAACCTGTATCCGTGGCCCTCCAGTCAGAGCCACTGCCTCTCGAGCAGCCAATATGAGAATGTCAGCGCAAGAAACTTGTTGGGGGCATTGCGCTTCTATCATTGATTTCAAAATGCTTATCAACTCCCTCTTTCTAATTCCAAAATTCTTAGCTGAAGCCATCTCCGTTGGCACGCTTCCTTCTCCAGGATCAACTAGAATGGAAGCATCACAACCCTGAGGAACAATGCAGAAGGTTTTATGGTTTTTTTGTACCATCATTGGCTCAATCCCTTGAGGCCTTGACAACAAAAAGCTTGTATATCAGTAGCAGAGTGAGAGCTAGGTACCTGAACTTGGCAGTCATGGAACATAAGCCTTAACAAAGCTGCTGGTGAAGTGGGATCGGTGAGAAACATAGCCTGAAGGCCATATTTCACAATGTCCTCAACCTGTGGGCACGATTTCTCATAGAAATCATAAGAAAGGCTGCAACTTTCAACCCCAAACCTAAAATGAAGCAGGAAGAATACTGCAACTATGGTTCTCATAACCATGGTCGTTTGCAGTAAACAGCAAAAGAACTTAAATTGCAGATGTTGCTATTAAAGACCGAGAAGGACTATAGTTGTTTGGCTTTGTGGAAAAGTGCATTGCTCTTCCATACCTTATACCAGTTAGGACCATAGATTTATATTATTACTTTGCTATTTGATTATTATAACATGTAGAAGTACAGAAATTTTTTTTTTTGAAAGGTGCTGAAATATTAATTTGGGCAGTTACTAATAGTCTTTCCTTGATGTGAATGGCAGTAAATTTCATCAGAGGTTGCCAATTACCACCATCTGCATTATCAGGTTTCTAATGAAAAGTAGTACCAACATTCATCTGGGAAATGGAGATTAATTACTATATCAGACAAGTTGTATGATTTTTACACTGCACCAGAACCGCAGGGCTGGGTGGAAGGTGTTTTCAACTTTTTGGAAATAATTCTGAATTTCAACTCTTTCAGCTTCAATAATTTACTTCCCCACTAAAAGTAGCTCTTAACACAACACCTCTCTCCCTCAAATATCTCCTAAGTTGTATACCAGGGGGAAAGCCAGCAGAGTTCCCATAGATTTCTTAATAACTAGTCACAAACTGTCAATTTCAACATTTAAAAACCCTCTCATGGTTTCATTTTGCTTCCAACCGACTTCATTCATCATTTATTTGGGTTTCTCCATTTGGAGTGAAGAATTATTGTACCCTGCGATCAGAATTTTCTTTAGGTGAAAGAAGCTTGACCCACACCCGATTGGCAATTGCTAATGAGAAAAGAGAAATCCAATGGCTGTGTCCAAGTATCTATGAGCAGCCCATGCAGAATTTATTTTGGGCTTACTTGAAAGCTATGACAGACCATACCTACAAGTTAATCCATCAAATTATACCCCAGAAGTTTTGTTTAAATCACACAATCTAAATGCTAATGAAAAAATGGTAAAGATTGGTTTCCTCAATCAAACACCTATCTCTTTCATTTCTGTGATGCTATTATTATTCCCTAAAGAAAAAACTTGAAACAAAGCAGTGCATGTGGACCACAAAAGAATTTGTTGGAGGGCCTCTAAAAATAGAGGACCCTTTCCCAACAAACTTTTCGAGCCAACTGATGAACATCCAATTTTACCTTCCAAACAAACTGCATACCAAAAAAATCTTCAGAAACGTCTCTAAAGAGCTTTGCAAACCTCCAGAAAGCCTCAAGCCAGCTTAACCTCTCCACAAACATGTCTTGGAGATTTTGTAGAACAATGCATCTTGCCTTTGCAGCCATTGTTGCTGTGGCAATCTGTTCCCCAGGTTGTGCTAATGGCATATCAGCGGAAAGAGTCATAGACTCTCCTTTGTTGACCGAGAAGATTAGCACCAACCGGACAATCAAGGTTGATCTCAATGGTAAGGGAGACTTCACATCTGTTCAAGAAGCCATTAATTCTGTTCCCAATGGGAACTCCCAATGGGTTATCATCCATCTCAGGAAAGGGGTTTACAGGTGATCTCATGTGAATTTGAAATTGCCTGATAATTTTCAAAGGACCTTGTTGATGTGTTTATGTTCGTATTTATTACGTTTTCAATGTTCTGGCTGGCAGAGAAAAAGTGCACGTACCCAAAGATAAACCCTATATCTTCCTGAGAGGTAATGGGAGAGGAAGGACGGCTATTGCCTGGTCCCAAAGCTCTGTTGACAACAAGGCATCCGCCACATTTACAGTTGAAGCCAATCATTTCATTGCCTTCGGCATCAGCTTCAAGGTAAGAACACATATTTATTTTATCTAAGTTGTCTTATAGATGTCGTAATAGACATGAAAAAACTTGTTTATCGCCAAAAAATTTCATCATTGGCATGTCTGATAGAAGATTAATATGACAAAAAAATGCATCATTTTTGCCTTCCTTCAATGCAGAATGAGGCACCCACCGGTGTTGCTTATACCTCTCAGAATCAGTCAGTGGCAGCTTTTGTGGGTGCAGATATGGTTGCATTTTACCATTGTGCATTTTTTAGTACCCACAACACTCTCTTTGATTATAAAGGGAGGCATTACTATGACAACTGCTACATCCAGGGCTCAATTGATTTCATCTTTGGCCGGGGAAGATCTCTCTTTCGTGTAAGTTGGGAATAAATTTGAATTTTTGTTAAATCAGAATTCCGAGTTTTAGAGAGAAAATCAATTTGATTTTATGACCATGGATGCAGAACTGTGAGATCTTTGTGCTGCAAGACAAGAGGATTAAGATTCATGGGTCCATTACAGCTCAAAACAGGGGAAGTCCACAAGATAACAGCGGTTTTGTGTTTGTCGAAGGGAAGGTTTATGGCATTGGAGGTGTCTACCTGGGAAGGGCTAAAGGCGCCTATTCGACTGTGGTTTTTGCAAAGACCTACTTGTCCAGGACAATCGTACCCCATGGCTGGACAGATTGGAGCTACCACGGCGGCTCAGAGTAAGAAAAATTTCTGCCCTTGTTTCTTGTAGATCTTTATGGTGCACATTCTCCTTCCCTTGTTCACAGGCTGCTTCATTTTTCTTTTTATCTGATGCCATGCCATCCTGTTTTATGAAATGAAAAACAGCCATCTGTTCCATGCGGAATACGACTGCCGTGGGCCAGGAGCCGATACAAGTGAGCGAGCTCGTTGGGCAAAACAACTGACCGAGAAGGAAGCTGCTTACTGGACTTCCATTGATTTTATAAGTGGCAAGGATTGGCTGCCTGTATGGCTATGAACTTTGCTGTAGTAACTATACATTATGAGGTTCTTGTGGCATTTCAGTCTCCATGACTTACTGCTAACTGAAATTGCTGGGTTTTCACGCATAGTCTGGCCTGTAAGCCTTGAAGCTCAGATGTAAAAACAGACAATATAATATACTCATCATTTTGTAAACCTAACTGCTCTACAGCACTGGAAAGTGCACTAGGATTCGGGAATTTTCTCTATTTTCAAAATTTATTCATTGGCCAAATAAATCGGCTGTTAGCTCTGAATCACAGCTTGAATAGAAGATTGGGTATCCAAGGCATTTAGAATTTCTTCCTTTCTCTCCAGGAATCATATTTTCATCCAGAGAAAAGATCTATAAGCCCCAGGATTACGAGTTAAATTGCCTTGAGACGATTTGATATAGCTAAGGATGAAATGAAAACTCTCGAAATCCTGTTCAGCAGAAAACAAGTACATCGAATGTCTAATCTTTTCCTGGTAGCAGGCATATTGCAGCCTTTTATTTTCATTATTGTTTAATTGCTAACGAGTAAGTTATAATCGGATACGCCATGCGCTTACGAGCATGCCAACCATTCTCATGCAGTAGCATGGTTACAGCTTACAACCTTGGCACGTTTATGGAACTAAAATCCCCCTCCAATTCCTCCTCCAGCACCACCACCGAAACCACCACCAGCACCTCCACCTGCACCACCACCGAGTCCACCACCTCCCCCAAGCCCTCCTCCACCACCAGCACCACCTCCAAAACCTCCACCAGCACCCGCACCACCACCTCCTCCAAGGCCTCCTCCACCACCAAGACCTCCACCTGCACCACCTCCACCACCTAATCCTCCTCCAGCTCCTATACCGCCACCTTTACCACCTCCAATGCCACCACCAGCACCTCCACCTGCACCACCTCCACCACCTAATCCTCCTCCAACACCACCACCGGCTCCACCTCCAACTCCTACACCTCCACCTTTTCCACCTCCAAAACCCCCACCTGCACCACCTCCACCACCTAATCCTCCTCCAATGCCACCACCAGCACCTCCACCTGCACCACCTCCACCACCTAATCCTCCTCCAACACCACCACCGGCTCCACCTCCAACTCCTACACCTCCACCTTTTCCACCTCCAAAACCCCCACCTGCACCACCTCCACCACCAAGCCCTCCTCCAGCTCCACCTCCAACTCCTACACCTCCACCTTTTCCACCTCCAAAACCACCACCAGCACCGCCACCAGCTCCACCTCCAAAACCCCCACCTGCACCACCTCCACCACCAAGCCCTCCACCAATTCCACCACCACCACCAGCACCTCCACCAAATCCACCTCCAAGGGTCTCCTTCTCAAGCTTTCGGCATTCCACAATCCCTATAGCAAACACAAATATCACCGCGAACACTCCAAGTCTTTTGGAAAGCTTCCTCATCTTACTTAAGAAAAACGAGAAAAAGGAAACAAAAAGAGAACTTTTGCTTCCCTAATCGTTGAGTATGAACTTCTAGCAAAGAACCTCCCTCTCTCTCTCTCTCTCTCACACACACACACACACACGTATATATAGATATAATGTAACACTTAACACTGATGGAATCATAAATGCATGCAGTTGATGAGTTGAAGATTATTAGTTTTACATGCACATGCAATCAGAGACTAGTGCAATCTAAGTTTAATGAAATGGTGCAAAATGTCAACCAGTGAAATCGCAATTAATGTAGTCCCAGCGCTCAACTACTGGCGTAGCTAATTCCCTAATGCTGTCCAGCACCGCGCCGCCACAGTCAGAAGCTCGACGAATCCTTCCTGTCTTCCGGCTTCCATATAATCTGGTCTGAAAAATCTATCAAGTGAATTAATTCCTTGTGTTTCCATCGATGTTCCACCGATCACCAAGTATCTGATCCGGAGTCAACATAATTAATAAAGCAAAGACTAACAGTAGTACTTTCCCTCTTCTCCTGCCGCTTTTTAGATTTTTTTTGACAATGAAAGCAAGTACCCCATGCCATGTGGTACGTCTACGCTGTCATCAATTGCATGTTTTCTCCTCTGATTATGACTAGAACCAAAATGTACCAAAAGAGGCGACTTATGCGTTGAACCAATGGGTTAGAGAATCGGTGGTATTTGGTAAAAGTAAAACTTCAAATTGATTTGATTCTTGGTTTTCTCTAACTTGGTTCCTAATTTTCTCTCCTAGTAACATATATATATATATATATATAGAAAGTTCAGTAAAAAAACTTTATATCAGCGATGGTTAGTTATTATTTGTTTTTTCTATGACTCTAATCATGAAAATATCTTTATACCGTTCCAAGTATACTAATTTTTTATATTTATATATATATTAAGTAGTCATCAAGATATATGCTTCATTATTGATAATTTTACTGTCAAGCAATAATTTGAAGATTTTAGGTTTCGGAAAAATATGTATCTAATTTTGAATTTGATTTCTCTTAATTTTTTCCAAGTAAATAATTGATCTTGGATTTTCTTCTTTTTTTTAAAAAAAAAAGAAAGAAAATAGATTGACCTATAAAATCATTAAAAAGGAATATTGTATCCATTAATATGGGCCAACTTTCAATTAGTTAAAAAATTTGGGCCAGTGATGGGCTGCATGATTTCTTAGTACACAGATAGAGGCCCATTTTAATTTGAAATGGGTCCAAAGAAACCAATTTGGGCCCAAAATGGGCCGAATTGGTCCAATTTTTCATTTTGTACGGGCCTTAAGAAACCCATCAGATAGCCGTAGGATACAGCTGATGAAGGATTTGGTTTTTGATGTTAGTTTGTCTGTCTTGAAGTGGGAGTGTGGAACTGAAGCCGACTGGGAACAACGTTAGGGTTTTAGCTTTGGAAGCTTCGTCTGTCTCCGCTGCCTTACCATAAAGCAAAAGCATCAGCTTACGAGAAAAAGCAATCGATGGAAGCTGGAGATGGAGGCGTTGACAGAGTCGTTGACTCTAAGGATTTACAGCAGCAGAGCAAAGCCTTCGACAAACTCGTCGATCGCGTCGAAGATCGCCAGCTTGATTCTTCTCGTGCCCAAACGGTTCTCTTTCTTTCTAAATTTACTTTCTTTATTTCTACATTTTTAGCAAAACAATTAAACTTTGCTGGGTTCTTTTTTTTTTTTTTTGTGATGAAGTAAATTTTTAATGCTTTTTTTACATCATGGGTTTTGACGTTTTGTTGATTTGGACGTGGCAGGCCATGGCATCGATTGCAGCGTCCGCTGAAGCGGAAAAGAATGCTATGAGAATGAGGTTTGATTTTCTTCTCTTTTTTGTTTTTAAGAAAAGAATAATCTTTATTGCTGTAGTTTTTCTGGGAAGAGAGTCAATTGGTTTTTGTTAGAATATGGGGATTGATTATTGACTATTTAAATTGAATTTTAGTCCAATTAGGTGCCTTTTTGTGATTTATTTTGCAATTTGTGCTTATTTCTGTGGAATTCTTAGATTTTGTTAAGGTGGGGGAGAAGATCAGTTTTGCTTGAAAACCTCATCTTGGTTCTTTAGTTTGTTTGGTGTCACCTCCTTGAAATCAATTGATGAATGTTTATGCACGGTCATGCTTCAGCTATGAGTTTTATTCAGCCAAGGGTGTCATTCCATATATTGGTATTTTGGCGGGAAATGCTAGTTTTGTTAAAATTGTCAAAAGTTTTTTGGATATGGTAATTTCAGGTAATATGATAACTTATAGAATTCTACTACTATTAACATGTAGAAGGGGCCATGTCCTTGTAGTTGATGCTCTTTAAAAGCCCAAGTATGCATAAACTGACAAACGAGATTGTGAGCCTGCTAAAATCTTGTCATCCAATATGCTTCAGGTGACATCAGATTGAATGCTGATGAGATAGATATTCTACAGTTCTAATTGCAATAACTTTGATTTCAATTAACAAATGGGGTTTCGTTTTTTCTCCTTTCCATGTGTATAATCCTTTTATGCTTCCTTGGCCATGTTGTTAGAGATCTGTAAATCCTTGTGCAGTATCATAATTTGTTGGTAGTTTTTTAAAATCTAAACACTCAGCTGCTTTAATTACTTAATTTGGTTATCCCAATGCTGACCGCCGCATGAACTTTTTTGTCAAAACATATCCTCCAGTACTCCACTTTTTAGGTCCACTTGAATATTTTTGAATTTGTGCTCAATGCTTATTTGAAGCAAATGTTACATATTTGTTTCATATAGAGAGAAAGAATTAGCTGCTGTTAATATCAATACGGCTGATGTGGGCATCATTGCAAACGAGCTAGAGGTTGGCTTCCATATGTTGTTCTTTCTATGTCTTTGAACTTGTATTTATGTAATATGCTAAATATTTTGATTTTTTATTTTTATCCTCTCTACTGGAAAAAGTTGGACACAATGGTGGCTGAGAGAACTCTCCGTGAGCACAAGGGTGATGCTGTTGCTGCTATTCAATCCTTGCTTCGCTAGACCAACTTGGTGAAATAAATTGATATTTCTTAAGTTTTTGCCAAAAATCATCTGTAAGATGGAGATTGTTGAAATATTAACATGAATAGATACAGCACCACAGTCAGCAGTGTAAACTATTTAGAATCACTCAACTCTATTCTAATGACGGTGGCAGCTATGCATATTGTTTTCCCATCTAGATATGTTTAAAATTTACCCTTTTTTTCATGCATGTTTTAATTTCCAGCATTTTCATTCATTCAGTGTGAACATCATAACCGATTCAGAATGTTGAGACAAAGAAAATTACCCAGCATAGGTCTCAACCTTGTTATAATAACCCATGAAAAGCTGTACGAACTGTGGATGCTGCTCCAACTTGATGGAGACATTAAAAAACATACGTTTTTTAAGGATCTGTTATGGTTTTAGTTGTCATGGTTCATGTAGATGTGGAGTTGCATATTAGTGCCTTGGAGTCAGCACTCACAGATAGCTTGTATGTTTTTTATGTCAGCCGCCATGCTTAGTGCCACAGCCACTGCCCATGTTGTGGAAGGTCCACAACAGTTGGTAAAATGATAAATTACCCAATAATCCTACCACCTCAACCTCAGTGCATCCATATTTATAAAAGCAGAAAAGGGAAATGAAAGGTGGGAATAAGATGATTTCTTTTGTCTTTTGTTTTTAGCTGATTTACAGAAAGATAGTGACTCAAATCCCACTCATATTTCCAACATTTAAACCCAAAGCCAACACCAAATATTTAATGAGTTGTTTCTCAAACCACTAAAGTCCAAGGCTATTCAGAAAATAAAATATTGAATTCAAAGCATTTCCTTGCAGACGTGAAACTATGGAACATGCAAAATTGGTCATACAAGAGACCCAGAAACTAAGTAATAAAGCATTCCCATTTTACAGTGGTAAATAACAAACAAAGCAAGACATTAATCTCACTCTATTTACTTCAATGTAGAGATTTGTGTATTCTGTACAACTTTCCTTAGTAATCCTGACATGCTCTTCATTTAAAAATCACAGTTGACATGATCCCCACCAACATGACTCTAATCACACAACGGCACCACTGACAGATTTTCCAAGATTTTTACGATGTCAGAGTAACAAACATCTCACAACCAACTAATCACCTTCAAACTTAGGCCGGGCAAAGCTCGCATGGTGCCAACCACTGCCTCCTTTTCGTCTTTCTTTGTCTGGAATGAGTTTTATGAGGCCAATGCCACAAGTCCCAGTGGCAAATTTGTGATAACCATCAGCTGAACAGCAAGGGGTGCAAAAGTTTTGCAAAAACCTGCCCATGCTTCTACAGCTTTTGCTGGAAAGGGAAGAATGGAACAAAAAACACATACATTTGATTCATGATTCCTTTTGAGAGCCATCTCCAGCCAAGTTTCGGGCTTGCTGAAATTGGATGGTATACTGTCTTTGCAGACCTCTAAGCTTTTCCAGTAGGTCCTGGAATGCTGGCCGGCACAGTGGATCACTGGTTTTGGAAAAGTTGTAGGTTCATATATTAGATCATAATCATAAATTGCATCATAGTTGGAAATTATAACGAATATATAAAAGAGAAATAGAAAATTGGTTTTACTTCTGAAGATAACTGGTTCATAATCAATAACTAAAGTACTACCTAAGCCAATGGCCCAAATGGTACTTGAATAATTCAGGCCATATAAGATGACTGCAAATCAAATTGTGAAGTCCTTGCCCATACTACATGGCAAGGCTAACCTTAATCATCATATATGTACCTACATCGATTAAAATAATGTCACGCCAGAGACTCCTAAATGACACTTGGTCCATCACATCGAATTATGCACTGGTATCTACTGCTAAACCTTTACCACTGGATCTAGAAAAATACAAAAAAAAAAAAAAAA